CATCCCAGTTCCCTCCCAGTCCCTCCCAGTTCATCCCAGTCCATCCCAGTCCATCCCAGTCCATCCCAACCGGTTCTGTGTTTATTGGGGGAGGGGCGGGGAGCATTTGGGGGAATTTTGGGCGATTTTCGGATCCCAGAAATTCCCGAATTTCATCTCAGGCGGGTGGAGAGACCTGGGGGGAAAAACCGGGAATGAGAAAAAACCGGGAATTTTGGGGGAAATTTTGGGAATTTTGGGGGAATTTTTGGGAATTTTGGGGGAATTTTTGTGAATTTGGGTGGAAATTTTGGGGAATTTGGGTGGAAAATCGGGAATTGGGAAATTCGGGAATGAGGGAAGGAGAGGAAAATCGGGAATTTGGGGGAAATTTGGGAATTTTGGGGGAAAACAGGGAATTAATTTGGGGGAATTTGGGAATTTTGGGGGAAATTTTGGGAATTTTGGGGGAATTTGGGGAATTTTGGGGAAATTTGGGAATTAATTTGGGGGAATTTGGGGATGAGGGGATTCGGAAATTTGGGGGGAATTTTGGGGGAAAACGGAATTAATTTGGGGAAATTTGGGAATTTTGGGGAAATTTGGGAATTTTGGGGGAATTTTTGGGAATTTCAGGGAATTTTGGGGGAAATTTGGGAATTTTGGGGAAATTTGGGAATTTTGGGGGAAATTTTGGGAATTTTGGGGGGAAAATCGGGATTTTGGGGGAAACTGAGGGGGATTTGTTGGGAATTTTGGGAATTTCAGGGAACTCGGGGAATTTTGGGGAATTTTTCAGGAATTCTGGGGATTTTGGGGGAAATTTTTGGGGAATTTTGGGGATTTTTTGGGAATTTTGGGGAGGATTTGGGGGATTTGGGGGGAATTTTGGGAATTTCAGGAATTTTGGGGGAAAATTTTGGGATTTGGGGGATTTTTGGGGAGATTTTTCAGGAATTTTGGGGGGATTTTGTTGGGATTTTGGGGGAATTTTGGGGATTTTTGGAATTTTGGGAATTTCAGGAAGATTCTGGGGAATTTTTCAGGAATTTTGGGCATTTTGGGGGAACATTTGGGGGGGATTTGTTGGGAATTTTTGGGAGTTTTGGGGAATTTTGGGATTTTGGGGAATTTTGGGATTTTTTGGGGAATTTGGGATTTTGGGGATTTTGGGAATTTTTGGGGATTTTGGGGATTTTTTTATTTTTGGGATTTTTTTGATTTTTGGGAATTTTGGGATTTTGGGAATTTTTGGGAATTTTGGGAATTTGGGATTTCGGGATCAGCCCCTCCCCCACTCACGCCGCATGGATTGGCGCAGGGGCCCCTCGGCCTCGTCCGGCTCCCCCGTCCTGGAACCAGTTCAGACCAGTTAGAACCAGTATGGACCAGTTAGGGACCAGTTAGAGACCAGTTAGAACCAGTTAGAGACCAGTACAGACCAGTTAGAACCAGTTAGAACCAGTTAGAGACCAGTACAGACCAGTTAGAACCAGTTAGAGACCAGTTAGAGACCAGTACAGACCAGTTAGAACCAGTTAGAGACCAGTTAGAACCAGTTATAGACCAGTTAGAACCAGTTAGAGACCAGTTAGAGACCAGTACAGACCAGTTAGAACCAGTTAGAGACCAGTTAGAACCAGTTACAGACCAGTTAGAACCAGTTAGAGACCAGTTAGAGACCAGTACAGACCAGTTAGAACCAGTTAGAACCAGTTAGGGACCAGTTAGAAGCAGTTAGAGACCAGTTAGAACCAGTTAGGGACCAGTTAAACCAGTTAGAGACGAGTACAGACCAGTTAGAACCAGTTAGGGACCAGTTAGAACCAGTTAGGGACCAGTTAAACCAGTACGGACCAGTATGGACCAGTTAGAACGAGTTAGAACCAGTACAGACCAGTACAGACCAGTTAGAGCCAGTATGGACCAGTTACAACCAGTACGGACCAATTAGAACCAGTACGGACCAGTTAAACCAGTTAGGGACCACTTAGAACCAGTTAAACCAGTGACCCCTCCCCAGTTCCCTCCCAGTCCCTCCCAGTTCATCCCAGTACAAACCAGTGCCATCCCAGTCCCCTCCCAGTTCCCTCCCAGTTCCCTCCCAGTCCCTCCCAGTTCCCTCCCAGTTCCCTCCCAGTTCCCTCCCAGTCCCTCCCAGTTCCCTCCCAGTTCCCTCCCAGT